GCAGGTAGGTGAGCAGCTGCAGGTTGCAAACTGCAGGTAGGTGAGCACTGTGGTTTATGATACAGATGTCAACTCTGACATTTGTGTTCTTACCCGTCAGCAGCGGCCTGCAGGGACCATCAGGGAAACCCAGCAGTGTTGGCTGTTGCCCTGGGGGAGGCACTTTGATCAATGAGAGACATGTAGATTCTTTTCTCTTCCCTGTTATTCCATTTCTACTCAAGCTTTCTGGGGATGCCCTAGTGATCAAGCAATCAGCAATGTTTTCTGTCAAAGCTGTAGCCAGCTAGTAATTTAACTATCCTGTGTTTGCTTTCCTTCCTCTCCTGGCTCACTCGCTTATTTTTGCCTCTGGTGAATGTACACCTCCCTCCCTCTCAACGCATGAGCTTGTCAGTTTTGTCTCAGGCCGTTTTCTAGAGAACTCAGAAAAAGATAACAAGTACAATGATAGCGCTCTTTTAACCTCTGTTGGATCTGATAACCAGTGACCAGGGGTAATTGTGGTTGGAAGGGAATGAAGAGGATCATGAGAACTATGTAAAAAAAAAAAAAAAAAAAAAAATTAAAACATGATATGGATTTTTTAATGCTGCCTTATTTATTCATGACTCATAATACATTTTGTGCATTAAGTTAGAGAAGGGGAGAGGTCTTGTGTAGTTGACCTGGGATGCCTACATAGAAAGTGACATCTTTCTTTTTATTTTTACACCTTTGGAGACTGTACTTTTGAACAAAATTTCATGTCAGAAAGATATGAAGACTGAACTGCAGAAATTCCAGTGCACGGTCATTGGAGTCCAAGGAAAACAGGTAAATGGTCTTAATGGCAAACAAGAAAGATAAACAAATGAGCCTCCAATTCTATTGATTTGGTTCCTAGCTCTGGTAGCGTAGTGGTTACGAGTTGGGCTGCCAAGGGTCAGCAGTTCAATACTACCAGCATTTTTGTAGGAGAAAGATGAAGCTTTCTACTCCCATAAAGATTTATAGCCTCGGAAACCCTGTGCAGGGTCACTGTGAGGCGGAACCGACTCCACGGTACTTAACAACAACAGCAACCATGATGTTAGGAGTCCTGGTGTGGCACTGTGGGCTAATGCATCAAACTGTAAAAGTCAGTTTGAACTGCAAGATTGGTGGTTCAAGCTCACCAGCTGCTCCTTGGAAACCCTATATATACAGGGTCACTATGGGTCGGAATTGACTCGCCAGTACTTAACAACAAACAACAACAACCATGACGTTATCATGTGTCTCTTCAAGGTAAAATACGCCCACATGATAGAAGAATAAAGAACCTTGTTTTATATTTGGTTTTCTGTTGAATGTACCTCAAGCACCAAAAGCACACCAATTTTGAGGAATTCAGGGTATACTCACCACCAACAGAGATCTCTGCCCCACATATTCGAATCTCATCACTACTGCTACAGGCCAGTTTGCAGACAAACAGGGTTGTGCCCAAGGGAAGGCCTGAGACTTGAGAGCTGAGGGAGTGGCCATGTTGAAAATGGATAGTTTTGTTGAACTTGTAGAGGATGAGCCTGTTAGAACTAGAATGACGTGAGCAGCCTTGTTTGGGCTTCAAAGAACATGAAATATTGATGGCTGATCCAAGTGAAATTACTCTGGAAGGTTTCACGGTCACACCTCCTCTCTTGCACACATCTGCAGTAAGATACAAATGTAATGCCCAGCACATAAGAAACCCATTTCAGAATGGAGGGTTTGTGTAGTTGTCAAAGGTAGGGTAAAATTAGCCCCATCACAACATCATCCACACTGCTCTGGCTGTACAGGTGATACATAATTGAGAAGTGAAGGCAGACAATTTAAGCCCAACTGTATTTGAATTAAAATATGCATACTTCTCAAGACAGTAGTATCACCAGCAGTGCTGTAACAAGGAAGTGGCAAGAAATTAAGGCTGGAAAAAACATACAGGAATACATTCCAGGAACAACCAATCTCTATTCTATGAAAAGAATAAGACTACTAAATACGGCTTCTCAGATAAATCATACTTGTTTTTAATCACCATTTATAACTTATAATGCTTATTTTAAAACTCAAGCCAAAAAGAATTTCTAAAAGTGTATTGTAAATTTTAGGGGAAGATTTAGGAATAATTTTTTCTCTTAATAATAGAAGTAGAAAGCAAGTATAAGCTGCAAGAATATTTGTTGTTGTTAAGTGCCGTCGAGTCAGTTTTGACTCATAGCAACTCTGGACAGGGTTTCTGAGGAGCAGTTGGTTGGTTTGAACTGCTGACCTTGCGGTTCACAGTCCAGTGCTGATCCTAAAGCACCACATCAGCAAGACTATAACAACCAACAGATGATTGGGGCTCTGGTGTCTTTGTAGCTGTCACCAGATATTTAAATAAGCATTTCTTAAGTCATTCTGATATTGTTTCATGGATGAACCATTACCGCATATAACTAAATATGGGATTATATGAATATATGTCTCTTTTCAAAATAATTCTCCATACTATTTCCATATACTAGAAACCACATTAAACTCTCATTTAGAAGAGAGGTTGTTCCCCAGAAGTTTTCATTATAATAGATATGACATTATTAGAAATGTACAATTTGTGGTATTCAGTAAGTACTGATGATAAAAGCTTCATAATTATATATTCAGTTGGTATTTTCATGTCTCCACTGAAAGTCATTTTTTGGGGGAAATGGTAAAATTATTTGGATCTTTAACTGCCATAAACACTTATTTAAATTAATAAGGCAGATAATGAAAATCATTTAAAGTAAAAAGTTCTCATTTTTATTTTCAGACTGCCTCTTATCTCTGCTTCCTTTGTTTCCTCTTTTTAAAGAACCCCCAAATGAAAAATAATCTCTCAGTAAAAAACAAAATAAATGC